CTGCAGCTTTCTGATCCTTTTTACTCTGTAAATACTCTCTATTTAAAGCTATTTTTCTTTGGTGTTCTTTTTCCATATCGGCAATGAGAAATTTGTGAATATTGGTACATAGTGAGTCTGAGATCGTGTATGTATGTGGAGAATTGTTCATATCTTTAATTGAAACAAGTACAGAAAAACGTCCATAGTCCAGTGATAGGCTGGCTACCAGACGCGCTCTGCACCAGCTCTGTAAGGGCGTATTTTTGCGCCTTTTACAGAGTTTACTCTCGAACCATTCGGTGTATCGTGTCACGGTTGACAGTGTTGTGCTCAGTAGGGCTTAAGGGTCTACTGCCCAGTTGACGACTGTGGATAGTGTCGACGATAGCAAGGCAGTCAGACCACTACTGTGGAATTGGTCTTATGAGTCCATACCAGGCTCAGGGCTATTAGTGACAAACGCTTGGACCGCGACAATTCCCTAAAAGGGATCTTTGTTGCGGCGACTTCTCAAAGAGGGTCATTCTCTGCAGATGGGAACTTGGGCTGAAGGGCTGAGCAATGCGTGACGTTCTCAATATTACAACTACTACTGGACAGGACTTGGCGTTACGAGATTGAACCAATCTTGTCGCGGCAACTCCCGGTTTTGGGTTAAACACTTCCTCAGATCATGCCACGGCAACAACTTGTCACATGTCAGGATCCACTCGATCACGGGACATTATGGACGCATCGCGGTGACACTTCCAAGTGTCACGGCAAGTCGCGCCCATACCCAAACACACTAAAATTGACATGGCTAGATCCGTGAACCAAACCATGTGAGGAACAACTGGCGTGCCTAGGGCTATACGGCTTCTCGGGGCACCCACGTTGGACTCACCTGCCAAGACATACCCGTTGGCCAATCCAGCACGTCGTATTCCAAAAGTATGACGTGGTGGGTTGACCCACATCAAAAGTATCATATGGACTATGGGGCGGGGTCCTGATCACTCAGGACCTGTCCAATCGTTCAACTTTTCATTACTCTAAAAGGCAACCAATCGTAGATAGCGTAGCTACTATGCAGTTGTAAAAGACTTTACTAAGCATCATCGTAGACAGTATAAGTAGCACGTCGTTTCTTTGTATTAGGAAGCTTTCCCCTGGACTGTGAATCACTCTCATATCAGATTGTTTTGTGCAATTTGCGTGCCGCGTGATTCCACCCTGAGAAGTTCTGCCACCCCTGCCCGGTTGTGACGAGTTGCTCCCTGAGCACTTGTAGCTACTGTGATTTGAGTTTGAGTTTAGATATCAGAAAGTCGGATTTGCCGCATCTGGTTTAGTTGCGGCATTTAGTGTCGTTGCCTTTGGGCTTTGTTGAGATTGTTTCCACACCTCTAGCTTGGCAGTGCATCGACTAGTTGTGCTCGGGTTGTTTTGGTCAGTTGGCAGTGCGTCGACAAGTTGTGCTCGGGTTTTGGACATTGGATATTGGCTGTTAGTTGGCAGTGCGTTGACTTGACATTTGGTTCTACTAGTTGGCAGTGCGTCGACTCAGTATATTGGTTGTATTGGTTGGCAGTGCGTCAACTTGATATTTGGGCTTTGCATCACCATCTGGACGCTGTCGCTACAAGGGATCTTAATACTTTGTATTAAGCTCTGACTTGTGATATTGTTGGTTGTGGTTGGATTAGTGTTGGTTTTATTTGTATAGAAGATATTGGTTGAGACACCACTGTTTGCTATATAATAAATTCTTGTCGTCGACTTTGTCTTCTGCGACTATTGAATCTGCGTCTATTGAGAGTTGTGATACTGGTGCTCTGTCCACCCCGAAGCCCTCGCATCTTTCACACACTGAGAAGCTGATTACGAGGAGTGTGAACGTGTTTATATTTGGGTTTACTTTCATAGTAGATTCACCTGTGAGTGCGCCCTCAGCATTTCACCGGACGCTCCACCTCCTTGGCTAGAGGAGTGGAGTGCTTCAAAAACCCTTCTCGCGCAGCTTCTCAGCAATCTCCTTGAGGAACTTGTTGTCCTTGTCCCCGTGTCATAGTTTGACCACTTTTCATCTTATTATCGACCACCTTATCTTATCTTGGCACGGCTTATCTTATCATGGATCCCAGCATCAGATGGTCCAGGCTAGGGGTTCCAGGGATTATCTTTATTGATTCAAGGCTGTGCGACATATGCTCCGGAAGGTTCTACTACAACCCATGACCAGTGCTCCATGTGGTACATAGCTCTATGACTCATTAGTTGTAGATATGACTCAGACTGGATTTGGGTATAAATACTGTATCTACTTGGTTGTATTCTCCAGTCTTCGAATTCACTTCTCTTTTCGACTATTGTTTTTGGTTAATTGTCACACCCCGTTCTCGATCTCTTCCAGCATTGTGGCCCAATTGAAGAACGTACGCTTCTTTCTTGGCTCCGGGCAGTTCCATGCAATGTGCCCAGGCTGCTGACAGTTGTAGCAGATGATATTGCGGCTGCGGGCATGGGTGCAATCAATTTCCATTGGAACCGGTTTGTTGGCAGCGGGTCGGACCGGAGCAGGTGCAGGCGTTGTTGGGGCAACCGGAGGACGGAATTGAGGAGGTAGTCGTGGTGTGGAGTGCCCATACAATGCCTTGCGCAGCTGATCGTGCAGAGCGTTTGCCTCGATGTTGACACACCAGTCCTTGAAGGCACTGTACGCCTTGGGCAAAGGGACACCCGTGTTGTAGAGGCAACTTGCAATCTTGCTGCTCAGCCCGCGCTCGAGAAACTCAATGAGGATGTTGTCTTGATCCCCCTTCTTGTACTTGCCCTTGTCGTCAGTGGTGGTGACCACATTGTATCCTGCGTCCGCAGCCAGCATCTCAAAGTCGGAGATATAATTGGCAAAGGATTGTTTGTTCTGGCGCAGGGCCATGAGTCGAGCAGCGGCAACCTGCTCTGCGTTGGAGTCCCCAAAGGCCCTCTGAAGCTCATCCAAGAAGGTCGCCAAGGTGACCCCAGCCTTCATTCCCTTTAGGCCTTCGAAGTTGCGCTGTTTCCAGTTCATTGCCCATCTCAAGGCAGCGCAGCTTGTGCCAGCCTTGTTGCGGAGGTAGGAGAGGATGAAGAGGATTTTTGTTTCATCCTGCAAGAATTCTGACCAATAGGCACCAAAGTAGGTGGTGCACAAGTCCACAAAGCCCATGTATTTGGTATTGTCCCCATCAAAATAGGGGGGGTTGGCGGCGAGGGTGATGCGGTGGTGTCCTGACATGGTAGGAGCAGGTGTGGTAGGTGGGGGTGAGGGTGGTTGTTTGGAGGGCAACTTGTTGAGGTCGGGGATCTTGTCTTCAGGCGGTGGGAGGGCAAGGTAGGGGTTGGAGGGCCCGGGTTGGTTTTGATGCACCAGATCGGGCGACAATGGTATGATGGGGGGAGGAGACGGACTCCCAGACGATGATGGGAATCGGTACAAAATGGTGGATTTGTGTGCTGTACAAGCACTCGAGGAAAGGTTCTTTTGCTAGCAAAAAGATCCCGGGCCTAGCTCTTCACGTGCCCAATGATCCTGAGGTGTGTTTTCCCAAAGGTCTCCGCAGCGCTCCTTGTAGTTACCGTAAGGCTTGGGTTGGGCTCAACGTTACCCATGGCCTGGTGCTGTTTGCTTGATATGAACCTTCACTGTGATTGCAGCAAGCAACTAGATGATTCGGTAAAAGGGTGAAGAGGATATAGCGGGCGTAGCAGCGAGGGATGCAGTGGTAAGAGGTACGAGGTATGAGGGTATGAGGGGAGTCTTCAAATTATGTGACAATCAACCCAAAAAACAAAGTCGAAAAGAGAAGTGAATTCGAAGACTGGAGAATACAACCAAGTAGATACAGTATTTATACCCAAATCCAGTCTGAGTCATATCTACAACTAATGAGTCATAGGGCTATGTACCACATGGAGCACTGGTCATGGGTTGTAGTAGAACCTTCCGGAGCATATGTCGCACAGCCTTGAATCAATAAAGATAATCCCTGGAACCCCTAGCCTGGACCATCTGATGCTGTGATCCATGATAAGATAAGCCGTGCCAAGATAAGATAAGAACGTCAAAGATAAGATGAAAAAGTGGCCAAACTATGACAAACAAGCAGTAACTTGCACCTTACTCCCAAGACCCTAGGTCATCCTTTGACCACTCAGCAGGATAATACAATCAGATTAACATGTTACAGGATGCAAAGAGGTCTTAGGTGGCCAAGATCCCAGTCGCATATAGTAGGGTCTAGAAACTTTTTGTAATTTTGAGCTTGGAATGTTATCAGGTTCAAGCTGTGATGATTAGTAACTGAATTGCATTAGGTTCAGTTCAAGAGGCCCAGTGACCAGTGACATGAACATGTGGTTGAAATATTACAGTGTAGGACAGCAAAAGCATATCCACAGAGGGGCCACTTTGCTCTTTCAAAACTTATTTATGAACTTGACTAACTTGGAGCACCCCATTTGAGGCTGGCCAAGGTTCCAGGGCATTCTGTGGGAACTATCAATGAAGCAGGAAATTAAGCAGTGTCAGACTAAAGCTTCCTCAATTACAAGGACAGTGAGCTGTACAAGTGACCAATGAATAGAAAGAAATCTTGCCAGTGTCATGCAACCATCGGAGGTCCCCGGCCTGGAAGAGTATGTGATATCCAATGTTTCATACTTCTCAAGCTCAAAAAGCTTTCTAACTTCTCCTCACCCAGACCACTGCCCCTTCATTCACCTTGATGTTCAAGAACAACAGGGATGTACACCAATCAAACTCTGAGTAGTATGCAGAGACATTTTTGTCAGGACTTTAGGTCCCCCACCCGGTCAGTAGCAGTCGGAGGAAGAGATTCCGAGGGAGAATTCCATGCTGGGACATCAAGACTCGACGTTTTTTGGGCTGGAAATTAGTGTATACCACTTCATCGTTGGGCTCCAAGGAGATCCAGCGATCCGATCACTGGAGCGATCAGGTGCAGCAAAGCTTGTCCGACAGCACCGCCACGCCACGCGTTTGGAACTACATAACCCAGTCAGTGCATGCATTGAGCTGTCGGATCCGTCGAGATCTCCAGACGGAAATTGTGCACCCCGACTTTCAAATCTGCTTTGCCCAACGCGGTTAGTCGACGCGCTCGCATGTCCGGAGCCCGAGTCCTCCGAGCTCCATCCGGTGTAGAGACATGGGAATGGACGGGGTTTATATTGTGCGTATGCATCTCGGTTTTCGCGCATATATTGTATGTATGCAACCATCTCCAGTGACGGAGAATGCAATGATTCCGGGCATGCAGCGGATGCTGCCACCGTGGACTTGACGACTAGTGCTGAGCGCTACCTCCGATCCGTGCGCGACACACGGCGAAAAGATGAATCGCCTACTAGCTAGGTCGCTCGTGTGCTACTCGGCGGCGCTGTCTCGAATGCAGTAGCAAGCGATCCTGATAGCTGGTTAGCTGACAGAGGCACAAAATGGAGCCTAGTTGGAGGCCTTATATATAATAACACGCTCCAGGCCCCTCGTAGCACCAACCCCATCCACCCACCCATGGCTGCTGCTGCATCGAACCGAGACACAAACCCGGACTCGAACGGCACAGTCTCGGCGCTCCTCTCCCTCATCGCCGCGTCCGCGCACACGCTCGAGGCCGGCTACCGCACGCACCCCGCCTTCGGAGGCTGCGTGCCCTCCCTCGACGACCCGACCCCGCCGCGGACTTCGGACGTGGATGCAGCGGGGCAGTGCTTCTCCCCCGCGATGACGGCCGCGGTGCAGGCTCTCGAGGGCGCGTGTGCGCAGCTGTGCGCGACACTGGCGCGGCCGAACCATACCCTGCTCAACGTGCGTGCTGTGGTCCTGGGTGTGTTCCTGAATCGCTGATACACTCCTTTCGCAGCAATTCTTTCTGACGGTACAGTCCTTCACCACAGCAAGTCCACGATCAATGGTGACAAGCTATGATTCATAGGCGCTGGAACCGAGCTGTCTGCGCGTCGCGCTTGTCTTCAAGATCCCCGATATCCTACGCGACGCGGGTCCGCGTGGGATGCACGTCACTCAGATTGGCCAGAGGTGCGGCGCAGATCCGTCCAAGCTCGGGCGTGCGCTGCGCCTCCTCGCAGCCAAGCACTGTTTTCGTGAAGGTCGGTCTGTGTCCTCGCTGTCAACCTCTCTACCCTGGCTGAACGAAGGGGGATACGAAACAGTGGAGCGGGACGTGTTCGCCAATAACCGGCTCAGCGTGCGATTGCTCGAGTCAGATCCGATGCACTGTCTCGGCATCCACATGTCCGTCTTCGCTCAATTTGAGTTAGAGAGACGCTGACAAGGGCCTCGATAGGACTGGGGACACGACACGCGCCGCGGCCGAGCTCGCGGACACCATGGCTGACCCCGCATGCGCCCACTCCGAGCTCGCGGTCCACTCAGCCTGGAACCGAGCGACGGGCCAGCCGCTGCCCATGTTCGACTATTGGGCGCAGGTTTGTCATCCCGCTCGTCAATTGCAAACATATCCTGACCCCAAGATGCAGACACCTGGCATGCAAGACCACGGCGAGAGATTCGGCATCGGCATGCTGGGATGGGGAACCACGGTCGAGGCAGCGACAGTCGTCTCCGGTGCGCGAATCTAATCTCTTTATTCGTTCTTCGTTGTGTTCAAATGATCATCTATATACAAGCATACCCCTGGCTGGCCTGCGCCCCAAACCCCACGGTGTGCGATCTCGGCGGAGGCGTAGGCGCGATGTCGATCCTCCTCGCCCGGGCGTATCCGAAGCTGCGCATCATGCTGCAGGACTTGCCCGACCGGATGGTGCAGGCACGGGACGTCGTCTGGCCCTCCGAGTGCCCCGAGGCGCTGGAGCAGGGGCGCGTCGAGTTTCGCGCGGTTGATTTCCTGGTCGAGCCGCCTGTTCCGGGCTGCGATGTGTATTATGTGAGTGATTTGATCTGCGGAAAGATTTCTCTGTTGGAGGATTGACCTTGAGGGGATTTTCTAGATGAAGAACATCTTACACGCGTTCTCGACAGCCCATTGCTTAATTATCCTCCAAGGGATCAAGAAAGTCATGAAGCCCGGCAGCCGTGTTCTCATCCGTGCGTCCATCCCAACCCTCCAACTCCCTCCTCTCTCTCTCCTCACACCGTTCCAGACGAATACATCCTCCAAACAGGCTCCACGAAATCCAGTGCGAACACTACGCAAGGTAACGAGCTGACGCGAGCCCCAGAACCCCTTCTGCCGAACTACGGACAAGGCCGCATCCGGCAGTATTACCTCGACGTCAGCCTCATGGTTCTCCTCAATGGCAAGGAGCGCACCCTCGACGACTACGTGCAGCTCGGCGCGCAGGCGGGGCTGCGGTTTAGCAGGGTGTGGGAGTTTGGCGATTTGAGCGGCGTGGAGTTGACTTTGTGAGATGGTCAAATGTGATACTGGCGATCTGTAGAGTAGGAAGGGGCGCGTCTAATTTATGATAAATGTTTCGTATTTGTCCAGAGTAAGTACTTGGGCCAGAAAATTTTTGAACGGTAAGTATATCTCACCGTTCGAGCCATGGGAATTTGCAACGCTACCCCAAGACAACTGCATTGTTTGTGGCGACCCTCACTGGTTGGCCATGTAAATTTACGGCCGACCTGTCGATTGGCAACTCAGTCAGCACATCGAACAGCGTGATTTTCCTATTGATAGGTCACAGGAGTGATCGATTATACACCGTTAGGTCGCATAAAAGTTGATATTGATGTTCTCACTACGGTAGAAATGTTTTGCAGTTGAGATGATAAAGGACAGCAAAAAACGCGCCATTGATGCGAACGATGTCGAAACATGCCCGCCACCGCCTCCGCGATCATGAGGTCGTACTGTATGTCATTTCCAGTTTGAGAGTGATTCCAAATCTGTCATGTCATCGCTTTTCCGTCATCATAATTTCCAAAAAAGGCAACGATTGTCAATCCCGCTCTAGTCTTGCTTGGACCCCATCAGTTTGAATTTATTATCGCGAGGTGCAACTGAATGGAGCCCGTGGGTGCGCGTGTGCAAGTCGCTTTGGATCTGCTCTGCATTGGTGCATAGAGCTCCCGCCTATCGACATGCAAGAAGCATCCGGGTCACCGCTTCGGTTGACAAGACTCTGGAACTCTGCGCTCCGCGGGCAGAGTTGCTTAACTGATACTGCACGAGCACGACACCATCGATTGGGCTGTCAGAATTCGTAGTCGCGATTTGGTCATCGTGCCAACCTTTACTCATCGCCTGGAACCCTGTCCTCCATATAAGTAAGGTCGACGAACGGCTGTCCAGATCCTCACCGAGCCCCGCTAACCAGCATCCAGACCAGTCAAACAACCAACAAACCAACCAATCTTCATCCATCCAATGTCTACGGAATTCCTCAGCGCAATCGCCCTCCGCCGGACCAACTACGCGCTGACTGCGAAGTCGTCCATCCCCGACGCGAAGCTCGAGGAGATCATCAAGCAGCTCGTGCTCAACACCCCGTCCGCCTTCAACTCCCAGTCGGGGCGCGTCTCCATCGTCCTCGGCGAGCAGAACAAGAAGCTGTGGGCGCTCGTGCGCGAGGCCGCTGTCGCGGGCCTAGAAGGTGCGTGTCGCAACGGCAGCGGCGTTAGTGGTGATGTTCATCGATCGCAGGAGAACAGAAGGACGGGGTCAACAAGCGTATCGACGGGCTGAGTGGCGGATACGGATCGATCTTGTTCTGGGAGGACCAGGCCGTCGTCGAGGGCTTCGCGGCCAAAGTCCCACCGTAAGCCGATTCCATCCAACCTGGTTGACCCATGCGTGTGCTGACGCACGCTCCCTCGCCTAGATACGCGTCGCAGTTCCCGCACTGGAGCGACAACTCGACCGGCATGCTCCAGCATGGGGTGTGGGTCGCACTCGCGCTCGAAGGGTTGGGCGCTAGCCTGCAGCACAACGGCGCGGACCCCGCGCTCGCGGCGAAGATCCAGGCCGCGTTCGGGCTGCCCACGACGTGGCGGTCGACCGCGATCATGCCCTTCGGCGTCGTTGCGGCCCCGCCTTCGGAGAAGAGCTTCAGCCCGATCGAGCCCCGCGTCCAGGTGTTCAACTAAGTGGTCGGTGTAGAGACGGTGTTCTTGTGAGGGTCGAATTTGTAATGCATATGTTTTTGGATCTACTCCATCGCGAGATCTGTGTCGGAGACTGGTTTGCTGTTGCAAGTACTCGTAGATGCGTCAAGCAGACATGCAGTTATCACTGATGGATGCACAGCCTTCACGCATTGATGCTTGAGTGCCTAGACCCTGATTCTGCCGCAGAGCCACTCTCTCTTTTCCGTGCAGATAATGCACAACTCCTTGCGGAAGAGTTCCGATATGCTGTCCATTTACTGTGTGCCACTTGTGTGCCACTGTACCTAGTCGACAGTGGCGTACTTTGCCCTATGTACCACAGAGTACTGACATCGGCCCGTAACTATGGCTCGCCCGTGCCTTGGCCGTGGGAGCGTAAGTCACGGAGTATCTTCGCCCATGTTTGCACCCGTCTGATCATCTCCGCAGCTTCAGGCTCCTTCCGACCTCCGCACGTCCCTACGGGTCTATGAATCACCCACGTATCGATTATTTTGTCACCCACCCATCCAATTTAATTGAGCACGCGCGGTGGGCGGATCGAGGCGGAAGTAACAAAATTGACAGTCACCGCGGCGGACGTCGCCTTGGTGACGGCACCGGGACCACATCTCATCGCTGGGCTTGGGCAGGCTTGGGCACAACACGCCCCCGGTTTCATCTCGTTCGTCAGATGTTTGAGTGAGCGGGCATGTGTAAGAAAAGTATATCATACGAGCGGGAGAGAAGCGGCCCATCTATCATACGTACTTACTTACTTCTCATTCTTCCGGCCCAGCGCCTTTCTTCCCACTCCACTCACTCACTAGCTACTATCATCCCTACCCTGCATCTGCGATGAAGACCTTATCGATGTTCTCCGCCCGCTCGCTTCTGTGCCTCTTCGCCGCCGTATCCACGCTCGCCGACGCAGCTGCCATCACGCTGCCGCGCGCGCCCGCGCTGGCCAAGGACAACGCCTGGAAGCTCTCCGTGGGCTGGAACCAGACCGTGCTGCCCGCGAGCGCGTTTGGCAAGTCTATCGGCGCGTTCACCGCCCCGCCCCGCCCGAAAGCGAACGCCGCGGTGGTCAAGCCGGCGGCCCAGCTCGCGACTGCGTCGCAGAAGGAAGGCGTGCGTGGTCCGCTTGTGCCTGTGCTGGCGCTTGGATGTGTGACGTGTTGTGCTGACCGTTGCGCTGTAGACGCCCGGAGGGGTGTTCATCTGCTTGAACACGCAGTGGGGCGGCGAGTGCGGGTGTGTGATTGAGCGATTGATCGTCTGGCGGTCTGACCTCGCCGTAGGTACGCCGTGCAGCCGTTGAACGAGTGCATCCTGCTTGCTTCGCCTTGGCTGAAGGGCGTCTCGAGCTTCGGCCCTGACTCGAGTGCTTCGTGCTTCGGTGCGTCGTGCCTGTCTGCATAGCATAACACAGCTCGTTCTCATCCTCGTTCATCCCCTGGGGCTAGCTTTCAATTCGGGTAACTGCGACGTCAAGAACGCGCAGTGGGACTTCCAATTCCCTGGCGACGACTCCGGCGGGCTCGCGACCACGAACCCGTGGAACGACCGGGTGCGTCTTCGTCTTCCTCACTCTCTCCGTACGTACCTCACACTAAGGGCCTTTCTAGATCACCAGCTTCGCCTGCGTGCCTCCGGCCTGATGAGCATACTGCGGTCTTTTGGGGTGCTGGTTCGATTCTTGTTATCCTCTATCTTTGTTACCCCGCTTGTTATTCCCTGGTCGTATCGTTGCTATCTGCAATACACGAAACTCTCTGTAGTGCAGGCGCGGGCGCGATTGGGTCTAGACCTGCTCAAGAGAAAGATGAGAAATCTTGACCGTGACACTGGTCGTCGATGGGAACTGTCTATCGCGCGATGGACCCTGCCATGTTTGCGGTTCTGTACCTTCCATACACCGGTAAGAAGATCTGTGATTCACAAGCTTGCTTCCACGTATGAGCCTCCGCACTGGCTCCCTGTTGTTCCGATTACTACTGAGGCAGTTCGCTTGAGAATCATGTTTGATTGGGATGCCTTTTTGCTGCCTTCTGGTCTACTGTGTGCTTGAGGAATCCGTACCATCATCCGACCTACAAGTGGACGCGCGCTTTGACTCCCCAGCACGTGTTTCCGGGGCTGTGCATCCGCTCACACAGTCACGTGAGTCGTATTTGGAGGCAGCAATTCTCTCAGAGATGGCGGATAGGCAGTAGGATTTGAGGGCATGCTTCAAGATTCTAGAAGGCAAATCTACTGCACGCGAATGCGCGTCCCAGGAGAGGAAGTTGAATGGACGATTAAGCATTACAGAAGCTGATGACTTCCCGACCTTAAAGTATTGGCGGTACTGGCTCTCTCTCAGATCTATAGACGGTTTTAAACTCTATGTGCATCCAAAAGACCACCACGAATAACACCTCTTGCAGGTATCAACTCTTTCTCAACGCCTGTGGTCTTTGCGCGCCGAGGGAATCTGATGTCCTCCATGGGAAACATACGGTTTCGCTCGAAATGCATCCAGTGAGCTGAACATCGATTTTTGACTTGTAGCCGCACCAGATTTGTAGATTGATGTGTGAACGATGTATCTGCAGAATCCAGATGTCAGGCCTTCAAATCACGAACAGGTTGGTGACAGCGATGCGTCACGGGACCGCGTTTGATGCAAAATCTGATTCGGTCCCTGCCAGTGCCGGCGCTGTGTCCCATTTCCTGCGCCATCTTCCCGACGTCCTTCATAAACGGGCTTCGATGAGCAGAAGCACACACTGCGGTACTCCCTGCTAATGCTTCCATTCAATATCTCCGAGCCCACGCACCGCGGCCGCCCCTCCCTCAACCTTCTGGCGCGCAACATCTTCCGGCGCTACTGGCCTGTCATCATCACCCTGACCCTCGTGGCACTCTATTACGCCTCCGCCTATGCCCCGCGGCGCTACCAGCTCAGCCGTATACCCTCCTCCTTCTTCAGGTCTCCACGGCCGCAAGGCGGTCCGCGCCCGCCCCCGATACCCGTTGTGGACGCGGGCGACGTGTGGGGTGCGCGGGCCCACGAGGTCCGGGAAGCTTTCGTGCACGCGTATGAGGGATATAGGGCATATGCTCTGCCCGCAGACGAGGTGCGGCCGATGTCCGGCGGGTCGATCAACAAGTGCGTGGCCGTGGGCGTGTGATGTTCCCAAATTCAGGCCGACGCAGCTTCCATGGATGGGGCGTGACGATGTTCGACTCGCTCGACACGATGTGGCTGATGGGGCTGGAGGACATGTTCTTTGACACGGTGCGGGAGTTGCAGGACCAGCAGTGGCGCGTGAGCCGGTCTCGTTTGCCTGTTGCATCGTGGCCGCTAATCACAGGGCTTACCTCGCAGACCCCGCGTGCCCATTTCTTCGAAGTCGTCATCCGGTACCTCGGCGGCGCTCTGTCTGCTTATGCACTGTCGGAGGACCCGAGACTGCTCAAACTTGCGGACGATCTGGGCACGAAACTGCTCCCTGCCTTCGACACTCCGACGGGGTTTTCCGTGCATGGGGTCGATACCGAGCTGTTAGTTGAAAGCGGAACGTCTGCCTCTCTCTTCTGATACGGTGACAGGGGCCGAGCCAAAGGGGGTGAAGGGCCGTTTCCAGAATCATGTCTGGCGGAGCTATTCAGCAACCAGATGGAATAGTGGGTGACTAGGGTGTCCAAAACTTTGCTTTGACGACTTTTACAGCAAATACCTCGCGCATCTTACTGGAAAGGCCAAGTACTTTGAGGTGGTACGTGTGAATGGCTCGGATACCGATGGCGTCTGGCGCGTCCTGAATCGTGCACTAGGCCGAGCGGCCCATGCGAGTGATTTACCCGCCAGAGAAGACACTATTCGACGGCCTACTTGCGACGACATGGAAGGTGAACACCGCAGAGCCAAATCTTTGTGCGTGTATCGTGATAGCCCAGGTGAGGGCTGGCGCTGACCCGATCCTCAGCCGACTTTACCGCCGGAGGATGCGCTGATTCCGCATACGAGTACTTCTTGAAGCAGTGGCTCATGTCAGGGAAGACGGAGCCCAGGACACGAGAACTCTGTGCGTATCTGCGTCAAGCATCTCTTTCAAACTGACTTCCCTGCAGACATTCGCAGCGCGAATGCGATCATGGAGCATCTGCTCTATGTCGGGTCCAAACGGCAACTGCTGTACGTTACGGACCTGCGCCGAGGCAAGCCGACGAACCGATTCCAGCACCTGTCCTGTTTCTTGCCAGGGCTATTTGCCCTGGCTGCGCACCCGAGCTCTGGACTCAATCTGTCAGACACGCAACTAGAGCGACATCTATGGGCTGCGGAAGGTCTGGCAGAGACTTGCTGGGCGGTGTACGGTGATACTACCTCTGGACTGAGTCCGGATTCGTTCAGGATGGATGCGGAGAACGAACGGTGGACTGTCTTGCTGCGACAATGGGATCGCGATGAAAGAGCCGGACCGGCTCCTGGGACTAAGGGCGTCGAGCTGCAGCGTGAGGCGGGAAATCGGGGGTATGTGGCGACCGAGGACGCGTATCTGCTTCGTCCAGAAGTGAGTTCGGTCGGTGGATTGAGTACGCGTTCTGAAAGGCGATGTCCAGGCCGTCGAGACTTTCTATGTTATGTGGCGGACAACGGGCGAGGTTAAATGGCGAGAGCGTGGCTGGTGCGTGCTTGTTTCTCGACTACGCTCGGCCAGAATGGTAAACGAGCTATAGGTCCGTCTTCCGGTCTCTGCAAAAGTACACCCGCGTCAAGCACGGATTCACGACTGTTCGGCACCTGGACGAGATTCCTTTCCAATTCGACGACATGCCCAGGTATGCGGCCAGGTTTTCCGCTTGACGGCATGTGCTGACTAGGCGCAGCTGGTTTCTGGCCGAGACGTTCGTGCTATCTGCGCTCCTATCTTCTGCTGATCTCTTTTCCAGTCTCAAATATCTCTTTCTGCTGTTTAGCTCGGAGGACTTGCTTCCCTTTGACAGATGGGTCCTTAATACGGAGGCACATCCTTTTCCAGTCTTCAGATGGAATCACTCGGAGATAGCGGAACTGGGTATTGATGTAACGTAGCCATGCCATACCATGTACATAGTATGTATATATTAAAACTAGACCACCCCCAAATGTGACGGGAAAGGGTCCCGGATTTACCTGCATATCGACAGTGCAGCAGGGCCGGATTAACGTGTGGCAGTGCTGCGCCATCACTCTTCCTTTCTCCTCCCGCCTCCATCCTTTTGCGCCAACAGACCGGACGCACACACTCTCTCAATGGTAGAAGACAAATACATCGGACTCGCTCTGGCGGTGTCCAGCTCCGCCGCTATCGGCACCAGCATCGTCATCACGAAAAAGGTCGGTGTGGATGCCACGATCGCACGCGCGCCTCATCCATATCCCGATCAATACTGCTCGCTCACCTGCTGCAGGGCCTCACGGCGGCAGCGAATGCCGGGTCGGGCTCTGAGTTCTCCTACCTGCGGAATCCTATATGGTGGGCGGGAATGTCAACTCGTGCGTGTGCTGTGCTATTCATAGCTCTCATGGCTGCGGACTGACACACGTTGTGTGTGGTGCTCTAGTTATCATTGGCGAAGGTGCAGTGTGTTTCTGCGGCTCAAGCTAGCCTTGCTGAAGAATCCAGTGGCCAACTTTGCGGCGTACTCGTTTGCACCGCCGGTGCTGGTAACTCCGCTCGGTGCCCTCAGCGTGCTTATAGGGTACGCTCGCCCGCTCCACTCGTGCTCTTTCCCGCTGACGGGACACATATAGCGCCATCCTTGCCTCTTTCCTGCTCAACGAGCAGCTGGGTCATCTGGGCCGAGTAGGATGCGCATTGTGTCTGCTTGGCTCGGTTATTATTGTGCTACACGCGCCAGATGACAGGCCAATCGAGACTATCACCGACTTTTTGAATTACGCGATGAAGCCTGGTGCGTTGGACGTTGTGCTTCTTGTGCCGACAAGCACTGACATTTGCCGTGCGCGCGCGCAGGCTTCCTAATGTACTGCTTCACCGTCTGCGCACTCGCCATCTTCCTCGCTTATGCCGTCGCACCGAAGCACGGACGCACCAACCCTACGGTTTACATCTCGATCGCGTCGATCGTTGGGTCGGTGTCGGTCATGTTCATCAAGGGCTTTGGTGTCGCGGTCAAGCTGACCTTCGCGGGCAAGAATCAATTCGTGTACCCCAGCACGTTTGTCTTCGGGCTGATTTCGGTCGGGTGCATCGTCATCCAGCTCAACTACTATAATAAGGCGTTGGATCTCTTCTCGGTCAACATGTGCGTGTGTGATTGCACATCCAAGCAATTATCTGGTCAACTGACGACACCGCTTTTCCAGTGTCAATCCGATGTACTACGTCGGCTTCTGCAGCGCTACGATCGTTGCTTCGTTGATTCTGTTCGAAGGGTTCAACACGACAGATGCCAGCAATACGTTCTCGTTGCTGTGCGGATTTATCGTCACCTTCCTCGGCGTGCACATCCTCAATCTGTCGATGCTGGAGGAGTCCGCGCAGGCTGTGGAGGAGGGACGCGAGGACGCGGCGGGCTTCGAAGGGCGGCTCTCGCTCGACGGATGGCACGGCATCCAGCGTGAGGGGCACAACGCTATGGGCTTGTCGTCCCCCCGCGGACTGGGCCACGCGCGGCGCAGCTCGCTGTACCGCAACCCCGCTGCGACGCTGTTCAATGCTTACGACCCGGCGGGCGGTGCCGACCACGTCGGGCTGCAAGATTTGCGGGAGGAGGACGACGACGAGGGGTGGAACTCGACTGAGCGGACGTCGCTGAGGACGCCGCGGTCTGCGAATCACCACCACACGCCGAAAACACCGTCGCTGGGCGACATCCGGATAAACCCGCGGCCGCTGTAAGTCAGCGAGTACGCGCACTTAGACTTGGAACTCTGTATACGATACGATACCTATCTTGCTGTGCAAATGGACTCCGCTATTCACGAATACTGTAACGCGTAATATGAGCTGCCTTGGATTGCGTCGATCGTCTCTAAAATGGGTACGTGGGGGGATACATACATAGTACAAGTGCTTGTAGGGTATTAGATCAGGATTACATGGATGCCAAGTCCACGGGGAGCATAGGGTTCCTCTCGCTGTAGTGAGCAGTAGAGATGCGGTTGCAGAATAGACGTCGGATCCAGTCCAGCGGAGATTATCAGGACCGGCGGGGTCGGGGTGTCGTTGGGGTCTGCTCCTCAGCCGTGGCGTTCGTGTGTGCCGGACCCGGGCTCCTCACACGACCGTCTTCCTCGCCGCGCGTCGTTCCCGTGCAGTCACCCGCACCCGCACCCTCGTCCAGCTGCGGCACCCCCTCGCGTTCCGGCTGTGGCTCCGGTCCGGCGTCCAGCGCGCGCCGCACGGCGACCGCGCTGAGCTGCGCCTTGTACGCATCGCGCTCGCCGCGTAGCCGCTCGAGCTCCTTGACGAGGTTGTTGTACCCCGCGCGCTGCTTCTCGATGAGCTTCCACAGCTGGTCGTTCTTCGTGCTCAGGCCCGTGCGCTCCGAGACCGCCTGGTGCAGCGCTGCCAGCGCGGGGTCCGGGGACGCGGCGTGCGTTGAGAGGAGGCCTGCTGTTGTGAGTGGGGGGATGGGTTCCGGTGTCAGAGCCATGGGTGGGGTGCGGCGGTGGGTGGTGGTGGTGGTGGTGTGTTGAGTAGTGAACTGGTGCGGTACGTGTGCTCGATCGTTAGTGGTTTGTGGAGAGTGTGCTGTGTCGGAACAGATCAGCCGGTGGGGGTTGGGAGGAAGAAGCGGTCGCTGACGTCGACAAAAATAGGCGGCGGGCACAGGCTACGCTACCAGGCAACAAGGGTCACAGCGATCTCCTTCCGTTTGTCAGACGCCTGGGCCCCTGGATCGTTGTTCCTGTATTGTACTGTACTGTACTGTCGACACAATACACACTGCGGGAAGATGCACAACAGTGTTCACGGCCATCGCTCGAAACAATAGCAAATGCGCTTCGCGGACATGGGTGTCCGGTGGTGATGCCGGTGGGCTTGGTCAGATCGGGGCTGCGAGGCCGGAGGACAGAGTCAGACGCTGGGTCAACGGCAGAGCGATCGGCTGCAGTCGTCGGTTGTGTAATGAAGAGACAAGAGTGAAGGCGCGTAGCGGAAGCGACGCGTCACTTCATTTCCCGCCTTGTGCCCGCATCACAGAACATCCTGACACGGTAACAGCTTTTCAACAGCGAGAGAGGCCCTATCCCCTACTGCCTGCCTCGCTCACAAGCAGAACTTGTTGCTTCCCAAACTCCCAAGCTAGCTATGGAAGAAAGGCTTGGAGATCGTCACCAGCGCCAAGGAGAGTGGTCTCCCATCACCCATTTCGGCGCACCCGGCCCGGGAGTAAACCAAAATGAAAACCTACTTTCGAAGCTGACGTCAGCGCGGTGTCGTTGAAATTGACCTGTGTAGCAGATATGAGCGAAGACATAGCTTTCTGAGAGTCAGTCATTCATTCCCTTAGCTCCACGATTTGATTGAAAATTCGATGAAATTTTAAGTTCGACTTGACCACGTCTGATGAATTTTTCAAGCATGGGTTCTGCGAGCGTAACAAGCCGGATTACCAAGTAGAAAGTCCCCGTTTATAGGCCATGCACAAAATTCATAAGGATCTTTTTCGGAGGAAACCATTTACAAGGCGTTGTGCTGACCGGAGTGGCAGGAAACCACTGAAGTAGATCACGAAAGATAACAACCACATAGTTTCCAAATCGGATTGGGAGATCAAACTCCGCACTCCTGACAGGCGACTCCCCTTGGCGTGGTAAGGCGAGTCCATGACTACCCAAGCTTCCACCGCTGCACTGAGAAGCTGGACAGACCCTGCAGGACAATGCGCCAAAGACGCTAGCACACGCGTCCGCCCCGGGGCCGAGCTGGGGAAAAGGGAAAGCGTGAGCGGGAGCGGCCACGTGACATGCAGGGATCGCGGCTTCTCCGAGTACTTCCCGCGCGCTCCAATCAGGTATTTCCTTTCCCTGTAGCCGCGCGTCATGGATGAGATAGCTCCTACGTTCTGGCTCTTGTTCGAATGGAGTCGCGTGACGGTCCACTCCATTTCCGCACACCCTGCGTTTATGACATCAGGCGGTGGGTGCACCGTATATATACCTGGGTGCAGAGCAAATGTACCTCACCAATCTCATCTCATCTCATCTAACTCACTCACAACCAACCAACTCATCTCATTATCATGGACTCTTACGACGCCACCTCCAACAGCGGTCAGCTCGGCACCGGCACAACGCGCCGTGGCGAGGACAACATGGACTCCCAAAACACCACCGGCAGTACGCGCTCGTATCTCCGCCTCCCTCTGTTCGCGCTGACTTTTCTCTCTGTGCGTCCCAGTGAACCGCGGCCAGGGTGGTCTCATGGACTCGGACCTCGACTCGAGCAACCGCCGCACGGGCGGTGGCCTTACGTCGGACATGGACCGCCAGCAGCAGTCGCGCTTCGACAACACCTCGTCCGACCTCGGCTCCGACACCCGCCGCATGGACGACCTGGATCGCAACCAGAACACCACGAGTGGTCTCGGCGGAAACACTCGTAGTGGCTTAGGCGGAAACAACAGCGGTCTCGGTGGAAACACCAGCGGTCTTGGTGGAAACAACCAGTACGACACGACGTCGAACACCACCGGCTCCCAGTGGGACAACAACACCACCACCTCCGGCTTGAACAAGCCCACCATGGGCGACAAGGTCAAGGGTGAGTCTTTAGTAGCCGATTAGATTGTCGGCGACATTAACACCTCGACAGGCACGGCCGAAAAGCTCGCGGGCAAGGTCACTGGCAACGCTGGCATGCAGGAGCGCGGCCAGGAGCGCAAGGTTCGATTCGCAATCTGCATTCGCTCAATTCGGATCCTGATGTCTTCTCTTCTTCGCAGCTCGGCGAGTTCGACAACAACAACAACAACTACTGAAGGAGTTAGCCCTGGTGTATCTTTGAAGGGACTTGTAGGATAAAGCCAATCTGTACCACAACTTGAAATCCAACGCAAACGATCTTCACACATCTTTTCTTGACTAAGATTGGAAGGCGATAGTTGAGGGAGCCGGCGTCGTTTCTCTGCTTACCAAAGAATCCTTGGTCGTGAACTTGCAGAGATCAACAAATGGGCAAACAACTAGTATTGATTTTGGAGTGTGGCGTTTTCGTGTCCCTTTACATGGGCCGAAAACGTGGAAAAAGCTGAGCAAAGATATGTGATTTTAATCCGGAAGGGGTGAATGTGACTCGTTAAAGCAGGTTCAAATTTGAACCAGAAATGTTGGCTTCATCGTTGGGATGTCAAGTGTCTTGCGGAGGTAGGGATGAAATGCGGCAGTAGACTCTAAAAGTGAGACAAGTGAGACTTGGAGGTTATCCTGCACCCACGGGAAGATTTCTTATGTGCAGTGTGAGGGACAAAACGACTGAGAAAGGAAGATGAACACGAGGACATTATGATGTACACAGCCCGCAGCTGCCCAGGCAGAGCGGCCCATGATCCGATTTGCTTTCCTCGCCGTAGCCGGGAAACACGAGAAAAGAGAATACATGCTTTCCCCGGAAAATAACCTCTGGACTCGCAGTAAATCAAAGCAGCAATCGAATAAGCTATGGAAGGTAACCACCGCCCGCATCCCGGACACCAGTACTCCGCATAATCGGCGTGGCAAGCTGCAATCCGAGACTGGTCGAACTGACTGTGTCGAGTATCCGGGCCAGTCTGCGCGTGAAGCGCACTAATGCCAAGGCACACGCCACAAGAGGCCCCCGCACCGTACTCGTGATCAATCAGCATATGCGTTCTTCGGGGAGTTTGGATCTATGAAGATTCCAATCCGGAGTCCGGTCCGCCGGCCAGCCAACAATCTTGTGCAACGTCTTGAGCTCTTGTGAGACAGACAGTATGTTGCCGCAGACAGTGCAGTGATCTGGGTGGCTGCCCCAACCCGGAACATGCGTTCTGTGGAAAAAAGATTGTCAGGTGTTCGTGCACGATCCTAGCATAGATTGAATTTGGTCGCGGGTCTCAGTCGGTGGGCAGGCGATATTGATGGCGGAGATAATCGTTGACGAGGGCTCGGGCTTGCGGCAGTCGGAATGTTGTCGATATAACGGCTCAAGGGAGAGAGAGGAGAGCGCGCGGAAGGGGGGAAGGGCGGATGCGTGTAGGTGCGAGAGGAAGGCCGACGAATTATGTGTCCGCTGTCACCGAACGGAGGAGCATTATACAGGCCACTGGCGCGTGTGTGGGTCCCGCCTTGTTTTCCGTCCTCGCCTATCATTGCTCTTCACCACGAGGCCAGAGTGCCGTTCTGCCACCCTACGTACCGATTCATATTCGGCTCCGTATTATTAAAGCAAGCGTCGTGCGGCGGCGTGCGTTGCACGAGAAAGAGCCGCCACCGACTTGAACCAACATGGCGACGTAGAAGCACGCACCATTGTCCTAGAATGGAAAATTGCTAGAACTTGCCAGAACCTGATGGAGAGTCGTCTTGACGATCACCATTCGTGGAGATTGCACGCGCATAGAAGGACGGAACGCACTGCACTCAGGGAAAGCACGCGGATCGACAGCGATAAATCACCGGTCTGTAGGCGAAGACAATAATTGAGTGAGAACCACGGTAGACGGCGGGAAATATCAGACCCGAGAGAACTTTGGCGCGTGATAGTCCGGGGGACTGAGGCCGCGTCTGTTCTTTGGGCCACGGCGAGAACACATGAACATGAGTATGATCTGGCTGGCATTCTGCTGTGCATGCCGAGATCAGGCACCTTGCATTGCAGACTGAAATTGAGAGCGAAGGGCCAAGGACACTGACAACAACCGAATTATATAATTCATGAATCATGTCAGACCCTCACAAGTCTCGAAGAATTTCTTTGCGCAGGTGGGGTGAGCAGTGGAGGAGCGGTCAGCTTCGGGGTGCATCGGTCGTAAACGGGAGGACACACCACACACACAAGCACGCGTGTAGCCGACAAGCTCCGGGAAAGCATCGGCCCCTGGCGGATCGAATGTGAAAGCCGGCTCGGCAAGATCAACGATGTGTCAGCTGTCTCTCTGTTATTTTGGTCAGGACTTAGTACTCAGCGACGACCACGGGTAGCCGCCGACCGCCAGCCGTCTCTTCCTCCCTCCCTCCTCCCCCCTTCTTCCCTGTCGGTCTCGCCCGCCCAGGAAAACGGGCCACCTCTGACGATACACAGCCATCCTTTTTATCTCCCGTACCGGCTTCCCCTACTCGGATGAAGATGGCCGCGCGCACCCAGCCCTTCTTCACTCGTTCCTTTTGGATGGCGTGCTTACTTCTCGGCGCGGCCCATGCGTCCGATGCTCCGCCCACTCGTACGTCGGCGAGCTTACTCTGCCTACTTCGGGCCCTCGCATCCTTCTTGCTCACACATCTTCCCACAGGGGCGATACTAGGCCCGCCCTTCGTTTTTAACTCCATCGCGGAGATGACGACGTGTCAGCCAGCCTTTGTGAGCTGGGATTGGGCTGGGAGCAGTGCGACGCTGCAGCAGATAACGCTCCAAATCACCAACTACGGTGTCTCGCAGTTCACTACCTCGATCACTGCGACCAGCACTGTCCCTTTCAACCCTGTGTCGACAGCGGCCTCCTCTCTGCCGCAGAGCCCCCTGGTTCCGCGGCATAAACGCGATCTGGGGTTCGTGACGCAGAATATGACTGCTTCCCGATCGACGTGGCGTCGCAGAACTTTACGTGGCCTCTGGTCACTGTCTCTGCGGGGTGGTACATGCTCGTCGCGACGTTCGCGAACTCGGGAACGACAGTTAACTCGCTTTCGTTCGTGATCCAGAATGGGGCGACGACGCAATGTTCCGCGAGCTCTTCGACCGCCGCATCGTCTTCTTCCTCATCAACATCAGCATCAGCATCGTCTACCCCGCCGCCATCGCAAGTGGCTGCATCGACCGGTGGTGGCAGGGGCGTCAACCGGGGTGCCATTGCCGGGGCCGTCGTTGGGAGCTTGGCTGTCGTCGCCGCGGCGATAGCCGTCTTCTTCTACTTCCGGTACGCCGCCAAGGGCAAACCCTCAGATGGCACCACCAGTTCCGGATCGTCGAGAAAGCGCAGCCCCCGCCGCTGGGCCGGAGACGCCAAGGCGTATCCGTCAAGCAGCGGGATCGGCATTGTTGCGGGGCACCACCACTCGCAATCGGACTCGATCGGGCCCATTCTGACCAGCTCTCGGCCATCGCAGTCGCACGCGTACAGCGGCGGAGACGGGGAACTCGACTCGGGGTCGTACTTCTCGCCTTCGCAGGAGAAGATCAGCAGCTCGCCCGTCCGATCGCCCTTCTCCGATTCGGGGCATTACGCGCTGGGCGAGCTTGAGCGAAATGCGGTTCCGCTCGAGTATATAGGCACGCCCCCCGAGGGCGGAGCAGGAGGCCTCGGCCGCAGCTCGTCCACGTCCACCGCCTCGCACCTGCACATGAACTTCAGCCGCCCCCGCTCGCACCCCGGCTCGCCCTACGGATCGGCGTCCTCGCCGACGAACGAGAGCCCCGGCCCGTCGAGTCCCACGCCCTCGTCCCAGGCGCACCAGCGCAACTCCATCGGCGACTCGCTCTCTGGCTCGAAGCGCATGGCGCGCAAGCCCGTGCCGCAGTACAACCCCGCCGACCCGTCGCTTGCGTCCGTGCCCTCCGCACCGAGCAGCAGCAGTAGCAGCCGCGAAGGCAGCGTGCGCGCGGCCAGTGGTACATCTCCCCACTGGCCGGTGCTGGAGCATAAATCGAGCTTCGGACAGGATGGGAGGCCCGTCGACGGCCGGCCCGTGCACTACCTTATCCCGGATATGCCGTCTTCTCAGACGTGAGATTGGACATCTGCGCGTATCTTATGATTGCTTTATCTACATGTATGTTTCTTTTGCTTTGTTGTAGCTTCGTCAACCTTATCTGCTCTGTTTTGGTGCGGGACGAGAAGTAAACAGAGAGCGATACAGAGGAAGTTCAGGCTTCAATGTGAGCGGTCGTGGCACGAAAGACACAGACACTGCACTGTTAGATTGCCTCTGACCACATTGCGCGCAGGCGAGCACAACAGGACAGAGAAGAACAATGCGAGAGTGGGGATCGTGGTCCTCCTTGCAGACGAGAGCCTGAGAGCATGAATAGATTCTAGTTCAGAGATGTGTCATCAGCTTGCCAGGTTGCTCGACCTACTGGTGAATGCAGAGTTGGCTCCTATGGGAAGGGAGGACATTGATATTGGGGTGAAAGGTCTTGAACAGAGAATTTGAAGGCATCTGAATCACATTTGCCTAATCTTGTGACTCGACACAGCCACCTCTCAACTATATATAAAACTAGCCTCATCAAAATTGTCTGATTTCCTCCTTGCTTGTGACCCTCACAGTTGCATCCACTTTCCCACCCCTTCACAGCCTCATCTTGTCAGCTTACCTGCTTCTTATCTGTTCACCTGACTGCACAGTTCTATCAAGTCATCTGACCAAGTTATATAAGTGAAGCTATCCTATAACCAGTTCATTGACTAATCAACTGTTTATTAGTTTGTTCTTGCTTATGACCACTACAGCCTTCTCTGGTCAGCTGACCTACTGTTTATCTGCTTCACTTGTCTTATCTACTTGTCACCTGACTGCATAGTTGTGTCTAGTCATCTGTCTTGGTTATGTGAGTGATGTCATTAACTATGCAGTTGCTTAACTGATCAACTGTTCATCAGTTCATCATCAATATCATCACCATGAGCCCAAGAAGCCAGGTGTGTCACATGTCTTGCCACCCCATACAATTTGCTGACTTAAATTCTCTGCTCTTTCTTGTAGTGCTCTCTGCTCTCTCTCTCTGGCTCTGCTTTTTCTGCTTCTGCTTGTCTTGTCTCTCTCTGGCTCTTCTCTGCTGCTCTCTTGCTTTCTCTACACTCCAGTCTCATCAAACAACTCCTTTAGCTGGACCCAATCCCAATGGGTCTTGGAACTACAGAGGCTTGATTGCCAAATGACTGGGTGAAAACTCAGAAGACGTAAGTCTCTAGGAAGTGTTTCTTCTTTCTCTGTCTTCATATTCTCTGATATCTACAGCTTATTTCCAGTAGGGGATTGACCTTGCTTGAATCTCACAATATGGATACTGTGACAATCAACAAAGAATAAAGTCAAAAAGAGAAGTCAATTCCAAGACTGGAGAATACAACACAATAGCTACAGTATCTATACCAAGTCCAGTCTGAGTCATATCTACATGTTAAATTGATTAGGAGGTCAGCTCAATTGATGTAGATATGACTCAGACTGGACTTGGTATAGATACTGTAGCTATTGTGTTGTATTCTCCAGTCTTGGAATTGACTTCTCTTTTTGACTTTATTCTTTGTTGATTGTCACAGTATCCATATTGTGAGATTCAAGCAAGGTCAATCCCCTACTGGAAATAAGCTGTAGGTATCAGAGAATATGAAGACAGAGAAAGAAGAAACACTTGCTAGAGACTTACGTCTTCTGAGTGTTCACCCAGTCATTTGGCAATCAAGCCTCTGTAGTTCCAAGACCCATTGGGATTGGGTTCAGCTAAATTCTTTGTTGGTTGTCACATAATTCCAAGACTCCTGTGACAATCAACCAAAAACAATAGTCTAAAAGAGAAGTGAATTCGAAGACTGGAGAATACAACCAAGTAGCTACAGTATATTTATACCCAAATCCAGTCTGAGTCATATCTACAACTAATGAGTCATAAGGCTATGTACCGCATGGAGCACTGGTCATGGGTTGTAGTAGAACCTTCCGGAGCATATGTTGTGCAGCCTTGAATCGATAAAGATAATCCCTGGAACCCCTAGCTTGGACCGTCTAATGCCATGATCTGTGATAAGATAATCCGTGCTGAGATAAGATGGTCGATGATAAGATGAAAAAAGGGCTGAATTATGACAACTCCCCTCATGTGGCAGAAGCATCTTGTATGGGTTTCAACACACAAGAGGTGGGCAGTCAATCCAGCAAAGACAGGGATCAGCTATGAAAATTGACTGGTGTACCATCTGTACACCCTAACTACTTATACTACAATCATCTTCTGAATACAAATAACTGTCCACAGACAGTGTGAGTAAGCATGTATGTCAGATGACAATGTTCCCGTTACACCTCATACCTCTTACTCACTGCATCCCTTGCTGCTATATTTTCTTTATTCATATCAATTCACTCACTCTTTTACCAAATCATCTAGTCGTTTTCTGTGATTGTAGTAAATGGTTCATATTAAGTAAACAGCACCAGGCCACGGGTAATGTTGAGCCCAACCCAAGCTTTACAGTAGCTACAAGGAGTGCTATGGGGACCTTTGGGAACACACACCTCAGGATCATTGGACATATGAAGAGAAGGCCCAGGATCTTTTTGCTAGCAAGAGAACCTTTCCTTGAGTGCTTGTACAGCACATGAATTCACTATTTTGTACCAGATCCCATCTTTGTCTGGGAGTCCCTCTCCTCCCCCTATTGTGCCCTCATTGTCCAATCTAGCACATCAAAACCTATCTGGCCCCTCTACCCCTTACCTTGCGCTTCCGTCTCCTAAGATTCCAGACCTGGAGGAACTCCCCTACAAACGCAGGTCTTTACCAGAGCCCACTCTACCTACTACACCTGCTTGTACCATGACCGGACACTGCATCACCCTTCCTGCCAATCCCCCCCCTACTTCAATGGCAATAAGTCCAAATACCTAGGCTTTGTGGACTCATGCACCACCTACATTGGTGTCTATTGGTTGGACTTCATGGAGGATGCAACCAAGATTCTCTTTGTCCTTTCCTACCTCTATAACAAGGCTGACACAACTTGCGCCACTTCAAGATGGGCAATGAACTGGAAGCAGCACAACTTTGAGGGCTTCCCAAGGCTTAAGGTCACAGCAAAGAGTTTCTTAGAAGAGCTTCAGGGCTTTTGGAGACTCCAATGTGGAGCAAGTCACTGCCGCCCAGCTCATGGCCCTGCACCAAAACAAACAGTCTTTTGCAGACTATATCTCTGATTTCGAAATGCTGGCTACAGATGCAGGATATAATATGGTCACTGCCACCAATGACAAGGGCAAATACAAGAAGGGTGATCAAGACAAAATCCTGATTGAGGTCCTTGAATGCGGACTCAGCAGCAAGATTGCAAGCCACCTCTACAACACAGGTGTCCCCTTGCCCAAAGCTTATGAGGCCTTCAAGGACTGGTGATCAATATTGAGGCAAACACTCTGTGCAACCAGCTATGCAAGACATCTTATGGACATTCCATGCCACAGCCACCCCCCAGTACCCTCCCCAGGCTGTAACAGCTGTGCCTGCACCTGCTCCAGTCCGTCTGGCTGCCAATGAACCAGTCCCAATGGAGATTGATTGCACCAGTGCTTGTAGTTGCAACATCATCTGCTACAACTGTCAGCAGCAAGGGCATATTGTGCAGAACTGCCAGGAACCAAGGAAGCGGTGCACCTTCTTCAATTGAGCCATGATGCTTCAAGAAATCAAGAATGGGAACAAGGACAACAAGTTCCTCAAGGAGATTGTTAAGAAGCTGTATAAGAAGGGTTTTTGGAGCACTCTACTCCCCTAGCCAAAGAGTTTGAGCGTCCAGACTATGGATGTTTTCTGTACTACAATTGATGAAAGATATGAACAATATTTCTCTCAACACATACATGCACCTGGACTCCCTATGTACTAATATTCACAAATTTCTTATCACCAATATGGAAAAAGAATGTCAGATAAAAATAGCATTGAATAGAAAGTATGTACCAGACAAAAAGGATCAGAAGACAGCAACTGTGGAGAAATTATTTTTGGACTCTCCTTTATTTATGGCTTGTGGAGAAGGAACCACATCAACAAAGACCAAAAAGGGGAGCACCACTCCAGAGGCTCAATCCTTGGAAAAGGAGGAAATACCTAAGGAATCTGCTGTAGTCAAGATTCCAGAATCACTCAAGCGTACAAGGGGTGCCTGATGCCATACAAAGGAGATTGTAAGCTGAGAAACAGAAGGGCCTCCAGCCCAGCAGAATGGTGCAAGAATTGCACAGCTACCAGGCAGAGAGAAAGAGGCACTCAATGTATGTCTATGTTCTGTTCAACTTTATTCTTTGTTGATTGTCACAGTCATGGGTTGTAGTAGAACCTTCTGGAGCATATGTTGTGCAGCCTCAATGTACAGATAACCCCTCTGGACCCCTAACCTAGACTGTCTGATGCTGTGATCCATTATCAGATAGCCCAATGTCAAGATAAGATAATTGACTGATGAAATGATGTGACAAAGGATCAAATTATGACAGATACCATAGTATGTGATGACTTCCTATATCTTCTGTTGCTGGCTTCTTGCCAGTTCTACTTCACAACATTGATGAGCTGAAAATCAGTATCTAGTGTAGTGTTGTTAACAAATTATAGGAATCACTTTCTCTCTTATCTTATCTAATGGATCTCTAAAAAGCCAACAAAAAATATCAGGGTCAACTCCCTTCATCCTGTTTATGGGTGTCTCCACTTGGGGAGATAAAATAAACCTGTTTATCTCCTTCCTACTCATATGGACATCTCTTTTAGAGACCACTGTATACTCAATGCTGTGTGCTGGCTTATTGTGTCTGCCTGTGACTTTACAAACAGTTGATATCATGATTGGTTATGTTGGACTGTCCTTTGTAGCCAGCAGTTACTTTGCAAGCTTGTATTCTCTGGCTCCCCATCCTTTTTTAGCCCACACTGGTCAGGGGAAATAGCAGAGGCTTCACACTCTCACCCCAGAGGTGCTCCCTGCACACGCATCATCCAATATTTCCTCTTAAATATTAGCAGAGAGTGATCAGTCCAAGCTGGGACTCAGATCAACTCATCAGCCCCTAACAAGGATAACTTGAATATCAGCACCTGCTGTGATTCAGTAACTGACTGACATGCAACAGTGTTTTGCACTATACTTATGATACCTGTAGACTAATTGTTCTTGTCTCTGTCTACAGGTAAACTGATAGAGTTACTTTACCTTTTGTAACTGACTGAGACTGATTGTTGTTGTCTCTGTCTGCATTAAGCCTGTGTTACTTGCTGAGTTGCCTACATAGTGCCCATTGGTCATCTGTACATGGGCTGCAAAACTAAGAAATCTGGGATCTCTCACTGCGTTAGAACACCAGATGCACAGGTTTCTGGAACATCTGCACAGAAGGTCACCGAGACCCTTGTTGGTCAGTCAAATCAGATACAGAGTACGGATTATGGCCCTAGCCTTTTCAAGGTCACATCGGTCAATACACCTGGATTCTTTGTCTACGCATGCCGAACTTAATGATGCATGGCACAGGAGACACCTGGAACATCCAGTTCTCCGGAGCCCGTGGTGCATCTCACAAGTAACAGCTCTGTCCTAATCTTGTCCCTTAGTCTGCCCCACGAACAAACTAGATTCACATCCACGAGATTGTTACATCCTCAATTCCGAGCGCTAAGAGCAATACTCCGGCGCATAAATAATGAATGGTATGTTCTAACTACAGCTCAGGGCCAGGACCTGACTCCCCAGCCAAACATCTCGAACAGCACAGGCATGACCTCGCACGCGATTATAGCAATTCCCGCGTACACGATCACCTTTGTCAGCACCTCAGCATCATAATGCTTTTTCTCCCGGTCCACCTCGTTTTCCGGGAGGGCCATGCCTGGAACCGCCACCGTATTTCTCGCAGCTTCGACCGCCTCCGCGCGGCGCCGCAGTCCCCGCGCCCCGTTAACGCCGATTCCGATCCCGCTACCGCTGCCGATACCACCGACTTCGACACCCGTTTCGCTCGGGAGATCGATCACGGACGGGATGGGGCGCAGTTTGTCGAGGGGCGGGGCCGAGCCCGCATAGTCCGTCGCGGGTGTGTAGAACCGCCGCCTCGGCAGGCGCATGAGACGGGCGGCGATCCGGAACGTCGGCGGCAGGACACGCAGGAAGACCGCTTTCGCGACAAGGCGCCAGACGAAGATCGAGAGAATGCCGAACGTCATTTTCGCCGCAGCGACGGCCCACCATGTGCCGACGTGGCCCCAGGTGCGGGGGACGACGTCCCAGACGCCGTCAGAGCCCAGCGCCCATCCGCTACCTGGCATGACGGCGTTAAGTCCGACAGAAGCACGGTGGGCGCCCCAGTCCCACCGAATGGCACCCCATTTCCCGATAAACATCCCCAGCATCACGCTGCCTACGGCAATCGCGTCCTCGAAACACGGACAGTCGTCCACAGGCTGCGGGTGCTGGTTGACCGCCAGGAGCGCGAGCGGGATCAGCGTCAGCGGGACCTTCCACGACGACGGCGTCTGCAGCACCCACTCGTCGAGGTACGCGCCCCACCCCCAGCCGCGCAGCAGCGTTGTCGAGAACCCTGATGATGGCAGGCTCACGGGGATCCCCGGGAACGACGTGTGCGCGAGCCAGATGAATGCGCCGATAGCAACCCCCGCGGCGCAGTCGATGAAGGAGTGCATCGCGGTGTACAGCCGCCCGAAGACGATTGAGACCATGTACACCGTGAGCCCGATCGTCATGCCGGTGTACGCGGAGAGCGAGATGAGCGCAGGCTCGGGGGTGGCCGGGAAGGCGAGCTCATGGATGTAGGCAAAGAAGAACAGCGCCAAGGATACGCAGTTGGTGCTGTGTGTCGAAGGCATGCCGTATTCGAGGTGGTGCGTTCCGATGGCTACGATGTCCATGAGAAGAGAGCACCATGTGGAATGTGCAGGAACAGCTCACTGAGACGCGTCACGGGCGGTGCAAACGGCCGAGGCGCACAGAAAAGGTCCTTGGCAACGGAGGTGATGTAGATGCCTAGCGTCAGCACGACGATAAGGCTGTGATCGCGTGGCATGTGAGCCTCTTGCGCGGAAGAAAGCCGCACAACACGCACCCTCGTCCCAGCTCGGGAAAGCCGAAGAAGAAGAGCATCGGGAGAAACATCATGAAGAACGTGTGGCTGCCCAGGGCAGACGTGTGGAGAAAGTACGCGTCCAGCGCAGGGCTTCTGATACGGTCCTGCGCGATGCATTTAGCGTCCATATACATGTCACACGAGCAAAAAAGACGACCGACCTGCATGTTAGCCAGCAGAACACTCTCCCTCTTGATCATCTCCACCAGCTTCCTGCGCACGGCAGCGCGCCACGGCGGGAGGGTCGCATCATAGACATCCATCGGCCCATTCCCATTCCCATGGCCATTCGCCTCACTCTTCTCATACATGGTCCCATTGATTCCAGGGAACGTCGGCGTCATGGGCGAACTCGCACGCGAGGACGCGGGACTCGTCGCGGCAGAGTCGGGCATCGAGAACGACACCGCTGTGTAGCGCGCGGAGGTGTTTATAGGCGCAACGGGGCTGCCGCCACTGCCGCCGTGCTTTTGGTTACGAGCCATCGTGTCGCGCGGGGGAGGGAGGGAGGAGGGTCAGTGGACAACGCGGATGAGGAAAGCCGCAAAACGTATGCGATTTGATCAACGCAGTGAGCAACGCCGGATCAGTCGGGATGTCGCTACCCGGACCCAGAACCAGGATCTACCAGGATCAAACGCGAACACGTGATTGTTTTTCCTGGATGTAGGTGCGAGGACACGTGAGTTTGCGCGAGATACCTACCCGAGACGCGAATCCAACGAAGATTCTGTACATATTCGAGTAGATTTAGTCGGATCATACGCGTGAATCTTTCAGATTTCTTACGGAATATCGGACCTGTTACAGGTTGCGAGTCGACGCGTTCAATCGATCGGTCTCGACGCCTACCCAAGCGTAAAGCGCTTCAATCAGATCGCATTCACAAAGCTCTTAAGGCCGTCCGCCAAGTGTGATGAAGAAAATCGAAGAGTGGGGGGATCACGTGTAAACCTTACCCCAAGCTGCGCGGGGTTGGATTGCGTGCATAGGCAGGCAACCTATTCCGAAGTGGCGCCGTGACACCTTTAAATGCAGAAAAAATCAATTTCAAGCCTCTTTGTCGTGTTTCACAGCAGTGAAGCGCCGTACAAAGCATTGAAACGGATGTGATCATGGCAATTCACGTGATCGATCGTCGCATTGTCTTTCTCGATCTCATTGGCCTCCTCTACTCTTGTGAACGGCGGCCATCCAGGGCTGCATAGACGGCCGGAAGGAAGACCTGGAACTGCCATATATATCACCCCACAGAAGTCCACTTCGATCTTCCAGAAACTGTTCGCTTGTATTCAAGCCAGAATCGGAGGTCTTGTCCATTGTCTGCGCTTTGCATGTCCCCCTGCTACATATATATGGGAGTGGAAGGCTTGATATTGGAACAGAATCTCACCAAAATGAGCGACCAACTCGAGGCCCACACGGTTTTGTGCCAGGCACCGCGCAGCGAACCCGTTGGTACGAGTGGTGCGTGTTGTTGTGGACTGAAGCAGCGTGCTCAGATAGCCCATTTCCTCATCAGAAACGGTCCAAGGAGCGAAGAACTGCATCCGGATGGCTAGTCCCCTCCCCACAAACATCGACGCGTCATTCGAGAGCGATGTTCATGGCCTCAAGACGGTCACCGCCGAACAGCAGAATGAGCGACTCCCCTGGCCACCCCACACAAAAGGAGCTATCTTGCAACGTGAAAAGCAGGCCTTCAAAAGGTCGGCCATTACTGCGGGTCTCGTCGACGAGCACACCGACACCATCCTTCCGCGCACCAGCGTCCGTCCGCACTTCCATTTCGCTCCCATCGGCGCCGAGACTGCCCACATCCGCAAAGACAAAACCGCCGGTTTCGTGTGGGCTCCCAAGCATGCACGTTCGGTCTGCGAGAGCGGGGACTGGGTCGTGCACGCGGGCATCCAACGTCTGGGTCTGCCATTCAAGAGCATTCCTGCCGCGGGCGACGAAGGGGACGAAGACGACGAGGAGCCATTCTTCATCCATCCCGGGAGCAGCGACGAAGACGAGTGCACGTCCTCGGATCAGGAGGACTCGGCCGGAGGATCAGAGACGGACGAGGATGACGAGGATAAAGAGAACGCCGCGCTGCTTGAAGGGCGCACGGTCAGGGGCTCGGGTTCAATCTTGAGTTTGCGGCCGCAGTTGAAGGCGTTCGGGCGGGCCCTGTGGCCGTCTTCCGCGAGAGCAAGAGTAGTGCTCGGAGACTTGGCGATCTTCCCAGGTGTACGCGCGAAGTTGTGAGCCAGCGCTGCCAGTGTACTCGGCGGCAAAAGAGAGACGGGAACATGTTGAAAACGCGAGTTTCATTCGGTCTCGGGCCTTGAAGAGACTTTATACATAGAGAATGCATCTTTTCCAGATTTTTGAATGTGTGGTGTGATAACAAGCGCGTGGTGTCACGATCAAAGTCACGAGAGCTTTAGTGCCCACCATCTCGTTCCTGCTCTTCATGCCGTCGTCTCAAGGATTCCGTGCCCAAACCACGCCCTCCGAAAATTACTTTAGTCGACCTGCAAGCTATCATATCAAACCTTATATGTCCGGAAATCCCTGCCGTCTCTGTTAACGGACTCAACGTCTCGACGTTAAGTGTGTTCTTCGCATATCTCCTTGGATATATGCGACTTGTGCGCGCGTCTTTAGGGGGACATCTTGAACTGCACGACCTACTGCTACTTATGCACGTGTCGAGATACCTGTACAATTTTGTCATGAACAATGCGCGCAGGGGATCTGGCTGATCAAAGGTACATAGGCTCCACATGCAAACGACGCGCCGTGGAAGCGCTAACGGACGCCATGAAACAGATCGTCGTGCCTTTGTATCCCGCTTCTTTCTGCGTGTTTCTGCCCTCTGGGAGAGATGCTAGAACTTGAGGATAGCGCCAGCGAAAATACGAGTTGCGAGAACGGGATCTGGACTCGGCGCTCATGCTGTCGGCGACACTTATATCCTCATCTTTATCGCGGCTCTACTCTCTGCTAGCGAGCAATCCGATCCCAATCGCATCTTCAAGCCCAAGAACTTGATCTTCGACCCACCTTCAAAGCCGTGTCCTTCCCATGTCTTCCCGTTCGCGTTCTGCCTCAGCTTACTTGCTCACGGCCCACGTCAAAATGGCACGATACGGCTCGAAAGAAGCTTTTACATGGAAGACGGATAAACTGCTCCCCAAACCGAGAAAGGGCGGAACGAGGTGGACCATCAGGCAGTTGTCGGGCTGGACGCGGGAGCGCAAGTCCTCCGTAGAGGGCATTGTGGCCCTCTACCGCACAGAGCCCAACGCTCAGATGTCGCTGAGTCTATTTGGAAGAGAAGAAGTCGGTGAACCACTGTGAAGGAACCTGGAGCACTGCCTCGTCCCGGCTCAACTTTGACAAAAAGCGGTGGAGATTATCAACGCTGCGACTGACAGTAGAGTCACCTGGACAGCCCATCCACTTGGATTTCGGTTAGATCTTAACCCATCCTTACCATCCGATCCCATTACTTGAGGTCCCAGCCACTCGAATCTCGCGTCAAGAAGATTATGAGGATGTATGTGCGCAGCGAATGACAGTTGCTGTGCCAAACGGTGGTGATGAACCAAACAGCGGGAGCTGCGCTCTTATGCGTTCATGCACCTGACAACACACTGATTACACCAGTGACAAAGCTGTCATAGTGTCTACATGAAACATCCCGGATTTTCGGACGTTCCAGTCTCGCCGCAATCCCAATAACAGTGCTGCGGAGGAGAGGCCCGACACTATCAAAACAGATAGTGATAGGCATCGATCCGGTTCTGCCTGGAGCTCCGCCAGCGTAAGCGCGCAACTATAAAACCGCTCAAGAGTCCCTGCGTATCGAATATCAACCAAAGCAAGTCGCATGAAGCACCTGGCTTTCCTCGCACTCTTATCTGCACTCGCTGGGCTGACGCGTGCCGCGGTGCTGACACCCGACGTCGACGCGTACATCGAGAACGTGCTGTCGAGCTGGAACAGTCCCGCTGGCGCCGCGGTGGCTGTCGTGCAGCTCGATCCCCAAGGCGGGTGGAGTGTCGAGACCAAGGGCTACGGCGTAGCGCAGGCCAATGGAAGCAAAGTGACCCCAGAAACAGTCTTCTCTATTGGTTCGAATTCCAAGGTGCGTCGATTGGGCCCTTGCCAACCACGGATGCTGCATGACACGCTAGCTTTTCGATATCCTCGCCACTGGACTGCTGATCAGCAACACCAGCCTCGAGCCGCAGATCAGCTGGAACACGAAAATCGCGTCCATCCTTCCGGGTTGGGAACTGGCTGATCCGGTGGCCACTGCTCAGAGCACGATCACGGACCTGATGAGCCACCGCACCGGGATGCCGCGACACGACTTTGCGTACAGCCGCACCGACGATGTGCCCACTCTGGTGAGGTCATTCAATAGCCCATTGGCGAGTGGCTGATGAACTGCAACAGATTTCACGCATGAAATACCTGAAACCGTCGACAGGCTTCCGCGAGAATCCGCAGTACTCGAATCTCATGTACGAATTCCTCTCCTACCTGCCGACTGCGCTGCTCCCGGACCATCCCGCGTTTACGGAGTACGTCAAAGCGCACATCATCGATCCGCTCGGGATGAACGCGACGACGTACTCGACCGCGGATGCCTTTGCGTCGGGAAATTTTGCGGATGGATTCACCCGGGTCGATATAAACGTCACCGACGATCCGCTGGGTCGTGGAACAGTCTATCCGTTGCCGTTCCCATTGGAGTCGAGTGCTCAGGGATCCGGTGCGGTCTTGTTACAACTAAATCTCGTAAAAGAAACTCATCGATTTCCAGCATTGTCGGGTCCTGGTGGTATTCTGAGCAATGCTATTGACATGGTAATAAATCGATTAACCCGTCTTTTTCCTACTGACTAACATGGGCACAGGCGACCTGGCTCCAAATGCTGTTGTTGAACGGAAAGCATCCCATCACCGGGGAGATAGTGGTCCCTGCCAGCGCGATTCAAACCGTTGCCACTGGTATCTCCGTTTGGGAGGGAAATGCGTATGTGCTCGATACAACGTTTTGATCTCATGTCACTGTTTTGGCCCAGGCAATTCCCTGAAGTGACGGCTCAGGTCTACGGTGGTGCCCAAGCGCAGTACGGATACCGAGGACACGGTGAGTCTCGCTTTGATGGCGACTGGGATTATCTCACCAATTTTCAACCACTCAGTGATTATCGAGGTGAGTCACTTCAACTCAGAAGCTTCAGATCCCAACCTTTCCATCAGCACGGAGGAGATTTCGTCGGTCAGTGGCCCCCTCTCCACTCTTCTCCTGACACAAAATGATCCCGTACAGGATTCCATGCTCAAGTCTCTAGATTCCCCAACGAAGGCCTCGGAATCGCGGTCCTCACTAACGACGACGTTTTTGGAACATACATGAAAGAGGTGATCAAGTATCGAATCATCGACGAGGCTCTCGGACTCGAGTCCATCGACTGGAACACGCGATACCGCAGTATCGTCTCCGGCGCGCGTCTATCCGCCCCCCAAGCTCTCCCGCCTCCCGCCAACGCTACGCTTCCGCTCCCGCTGACCAAGTTCGCAGCTCAAAACTACAGCAATCCAGGGTACGGGCCGGACATCGAGCTGTGCGCTGTGTCCCAGCCCGCATCGCCGACTTGCTCGTCCCTGGTGTCGGCGATCAACGCTACCTTCCCCGAGCAGCTGGCTGGCGCTGACCTCGTGTGGCGGTGGGACCGACTGTCTGCGACGTATGCCGCGCTGACGCACTACGACGGGCCGGTGTTCAACGTCTCTGGCTGGGTTCCTCTGGTCTGTGCTCTTCGCGCTTCGTATTGCCCAGTCCGCCGCTGACCTGGAAGTAACGATGCATAGCAAACTCGGAACGTGTCGGTGCCGACGATCGCGTACGACTCGGGCCTGGAGGGCGTCATTGCGCAGTTTGATATCCACGAGGGTCGTGTTCGAGGCTTCGGATTTGTCGGTGGGTTGTGGGGATCGGGGACGCTCGAGGGGGAGCCGAGCGGCAAGACCGCGGAAGAGCGGTCTGAGGTGTGGTATTCGGCTGTGTGACCGAGTTTATTAAGCGAATATATCTTATAAATTCCTCTCGTAGCACTAAGGACACTTGTATGAACCTGAATCCACGGCACGCGTGACGCACCAATGCGAAGATATTTGGCCCTCACGTGACCGCGCATCCTGTCTTCAGGTCAGCAAACAGATGAGCTGTTTGTTCCAATGCCAACAGCTTCCTACGTTGAGGATCAAATCTACAATGTGGGCTAGTTGCATTGTCTACTCCTCACATCGGAGGGCACTTGGGAGGCTTGTCATCCGGCATAACATGCTTTCGCCGTTTCTGAGCGACAGTTCCTTGAAGAGAACGATGCTCGATGCCCTCCACCCAAGACAAGCGATGTCTCCAGCGAGAACTGCAGCCCACTGGTCTCGCCTTGTAACTTGCTTTGCCAGATTTTGTATTCCAGCTGGCACATCCACACGACACTCAGATTTGCATTCCAGCCGCTGGTGCCCCTGATTTCCGAGCGCCAGCAGATGCATACTATAAAGCATACTCAGAATACAAAATTAATGCAGCGCCAATGCATTCCCTGAGGCCAGTCCTTGTCTCTTCCTCCTCCACCGTGGGCCAACAACGTGGATGACGAGATACACCACCGGGATCATCAGCCCAGCCAGCCCGCCCAGCAGCAGGTACGTGAAGCCGGGCCTAAGAGCGCCCAGCAGCGGCGCAATGCCCGACACGAGACCTGCGCCGAGCGAGCATCGGATGAGGTTGTTCTAGGCAGCGTGAGTGAGTGGGCAGGTAGCGAGACGCGTCGGCACACGACTCACGCATGCTGTCACCGCGGAACTTTGGCTGGGCATGAGGTCCAGCATGAGCGTCTGGATCGAGTTCATCACGGAGATGACCACCAGGCCAACTGGAAGCCATAATCGGTACTTGAGCAACCTGGGAGTGGACAACACGCACTGCCGACAAGAAGCAGAAGCGGCCCGGAGATGTGCGTCTTCGCTTGTAAACACCATCCGTATCCGACCGTGCATCCGACGAACGACGCCAGCAGAAACGGCAGCGAGCGCAGCCGCGCCTTCTCGATCGGGAAATCATCCTCGTGTACATCTTTCGCTTTGTGCTTCAGCCGCCGGTACTCCCAGTTAAGAATCTTTCCGTGGAACACAGAGCCAAGGATGAGCCCCGCGCCGATGGCTGGAGGGCACGCGATCAGCGCGTGGGGTAGAGGATAATCGGCCTCTGACGTACGCAGGAAACACAAGCCCAGCTCCGTATCCGTCAGGTGAGGATACGCGTCGACAAACACGCTCGAAATGCTTGTCGTGACTCCGTAGAACACGGCAAAGTTGAGAGCGTTAATGAGGAGCAGAATCAGGATGTCGACTTGCAGCAAAATGAGCAGCGGATTCTGGAATGTGTTGCGTCCAGTACTGCTGGAGGAACTAGCTGGCGAGCGTCGAGCCGTGCGGCCGATGATGGGGATGACGGCGTTGTATATCTTGGGCGGCGGGATGCTCCCATTGCCAACGATGGTGCGCAGTGTTTCGGGCAGAAACCTGAGAACATGTCAGGCACTGTGGAAGAAAGTGCATGTCGCTCACAGGATGAGAACCACGGCGCATATACCCGAAGAGATGCACAGGAACCAGAAGATCGCTCTACGGGGACGACATCAAGCGGCAGAACCAACGCCCAGACACCAACACACCTCCAGCCCAGCTTGTCGGCGAACACACCGGCAAGCACCGGCCCCAGAGTCGGTCCGACCTGACATTTCGCGATTCAAACCCGAGATGACGAAGCAGCGATGACTTGGCACACACCATGGGCCCAATGCTGAATAACCCAAAGAACCCACCCCGCTCCGCACGCGTCGAGATGTCCCCGATCACACCTGCGCCGAGGGCAATGGTGCTCGCAGACCCAGCAGCCTGGAAGCACCGCAGAAAGAGAAGCAGCCAGTACGCCGACGTCGGCGTGAGCGCGAGGCCGACGCAAGACAGCGAGAGGATCACGAGGCAGGAGATGAAGATGTGTCTGCGACCGTAGGTGTCGGACAGACTCCCCCAGATCATGGGCGCTGGGACGGAGGATCAGCACGGAGATGATGAAATACAGGCCCACACATCGTGGGACGCACTCAGCCCTTGAAAGACCATGTTCAGTGTCACCTATGGACGCCATAAGTTGAATTTACACCTGGAGTGTCAACAGCTGGTGGGAGACACACCGTCAGGTTGATAAGCTCTATTGACTTGTGGAACGCCTTTGCGATGGTGGGTATCGCGGGAAAGTAGATATTGGCTGAGAGCGGACTGCAGGAAAGTTCGATACAGGGCCATGTTATATCAGCAGCAGAGGACTGAACCTGAAGAACGCCCCGGTCGCAATGAGCAACACGATAGCCCACTTCTCGTTGACCGTGAATGCGCTGTATGGCTCCTCAGAGAGCACCGTGTTCGATGCTATATCGTCCGCTCTCACTACTTCCTCGACCACAAGAGTCTTTTCTGCATCCCTCGACGTCATTGGCAGCTAGAAGGCGGTTTTTTGTGGGGTAACGGTGCAGAAAAGCGAGTCGCGTGCCACGGAAGCAACTCCGAGTGGGTAAGACGTGGACAAGCTCGTGTACACGAGCGCTACATAAAGGCATGTTCGCGGCTTGATAGAGAGAGATGATGTCGGCCGATTCAAACCGATGCTGGCTTGTATAAATCCGACGATCTAATCTTATCTTGGCGACTTGCTCTCATCAATATCGATGTCTCACTGAGTCACGGCCCAGGTCTCACGACATTCGAGATTGTCAAGATTGCTTACGTGCTTTTTCTTTCTTCTGAGAGGTATAAGACTAGTTTGGATTCACCACATGTAAAGAAAAAAATGTCTATCTTTGGAAAATCTCCCTTGGTCACACGATGCGCTCTGGGCACATCCTTTGCCCGAATGGCTGTGCATGTTCGGACAGAGAGTCTAGACGCGCGAGGTAAATAGACGGGGCGTAAAATACAGCGTGCATTAGAGCATCTACGGCATACAATATATCCCAAAAATAAGCCCAAAATGATAACGGACAGCATGTGACGGACATCTCGACAACAACGAACAACATTTCAGAAATCGACAGCAAGGAGGGAGCGACGGTCGGCAGCAGGTGGGTATTTCGGAGAGAAAAAGCGCTCGAGACAGCAGCATATGAAAGATCCGACCGCGCCCACGTGAAAGTAGCACAATTGCTGTGGAGATGACAACCGCGTGCTCAGAGGAGCTTAGACTGCTTCAGATGCTGTCGAACCACCATATCACGGACTGGAGCGTCGTCAAGCACTTGAAACGGACACAGAGCCGAGACAGCTCACCACTCGCAATGATGCCACCGGTCGTGGCAGTGTCCGTGACACTGGTGCAAAAGGCATAGAACTTGCGTGGACTGGGCGAGCTTTCTCGGTGAATCGCACTGAACTTGCTTCTGAGATCTAGGCCACGATCAGCCCGAGCTATACAGCCATCAAAGTACGCACAAGAGCTGACGGCGTCGACCGTGTTCTCCCTGTCTGCATAGCTCTTGACATACTTGGCAAGTCGAATACCAGCCTTGAGCTTGGCCTCGAGGATGTCGCATTTGTTCAAGAACAGGACGATATCGACGGCAGCCAATAACTTGTTGCCGCAGAGGGCTTTCCAAAGAAGCACAGAGTCTTCCTGCGCGCGGGAGTCTCAGACCGACATCTCGAAAAGCACAGCACAGTGAGACCTACCAAACGGTTGACAGTCCGATCTTCGGAAAGGACCTGGTCAAAGCCCGAGATAGGTGCAAGGAAAATGATGGCGTCCACTGCGGGATGTCGTTAGCGCAAGGTCAGAAGACGAGAGCGGAGAACGCACCATCGTCAAAGAAGGGAACCCAAGTCGCTCGCTAGTTGACCCCGTCAGCAACTTGATTGAGCCAAGCCCACCGAGTGCACACACACCTGACTTCGGCTTCCTCCAACATCGACTATCCGCCATTCTGCGCCAGTCTCCCGGCCCGTCGGAACCTCCATCTCAAACATGTATTCGCTGACCCCGACGGTTTTCAGTCGAGCTCGTAAGACGTCATCGTCAGTTGGTAGGTAGTTAGGTGCTGTCACGCGTGCGAGGTCATTCAGAAAACTGGCGCAATGAGTCAGTCAACTGTCGACGGGAAGAGCAGAGCAGAAGACATACAAGCCGGGGCCCTCCTCGAGTCGGATCTTCCTCCGCTTAAGCACGTTCCTGACATCAGTGTCAAGCCAGAGACCCTGCATGACCTGCGAACAGGAATGCAGTGTGTCTTGCACTTCGTCGCGTGGCACTGGGTCCGGGGACCGTCTCCGAGCGCTTTTCCATCGGTTCCCAGGCCGAACGAAGATCTCCCCGCTGCTATTGGAGCTGATCGAATCAGGCCCGCGCCCTGGCAGATGGGTCGGCTCGTCTTCGTGCGCAGGAACCAGCCGCGCGATAAGCAGCGCCTCGACATGCCGTAACGGGAGAAGGCGCATGGAATACCCATCATAGGCCGCGGCAGTTTGCTGAGGGGGATGGATCGCGAATCGCTCGTATGCGCTTTCTGGGTCGCTATCGGGATCAGAGTCAACGCCGTTAAATGCGAATTCGCCTCCCCCTCCATCGTAGTAGGAAGGTGCGACATCTGGAGAGATGCTTAGAGGTATCGTGGAGGGACCGGCTCCAGGCGAAGAAGATGCGAACGCGTGGAGGGAAGTAGAACGTCGTCGACCGCGTGCACGTCCTGGTATCGGAATGGCAGAGGATTCCGCCAAAGCCTCGAGAATAGTGTGTATCGAACGGACGATATTCAGCTGGATCACAGCCCGCCAGTGCACTCGTTCTGCCCTGAAAGCAGTCGGGGTATATAAACGTTGAAATTCTGGATATCAACATGCAAATGAGATACAAAGGTACAAAAGCTGAGGAGGCACGCACGTCGGAGAGTCGTGCTTTTCCCGCTCTCGCTCTGGCCCAGTAAAAGTAGCCGCACAATACGCTTCTTCTT